ACAATTTTTCTGTCTAGAGTAGAGGAAAAAATCGATTTACAGAGAAGCCAGTATTAAATGTTATAATTAATAAGCAGTGACAAGAAACTAATGGTTGCTCTGAAATCTTCCCGTAAAAAATAGAAACAGATAAACCTAGGAGAAGAAAGCTATGGAGTATTTATGGCATAATTAACAACCTGTAGAGGAACAAACTAAATATGATACCAGTGTTTAAATACTCTTCAGAATCCATTTCATTGTAAGTTAAAATACTCTTCCAAAGAGTTATCATCCTGTGAAAAAAGGAAATGATAGTAAAATGTTTTGTTTTTAAAGAGACTATCAGGCTGCCTAATGTGGTTATTTTTAAATTTTATGATAACCCACACACCCACATACATACACATTGTGTTTAGTATGGTAGGGAAATCCCCTATTTTAATTTTCCTTAGTGAATTCTTTTCTGAGATCTTTTTATATGATTAAAAATGATCCATCATTTAATTTGTTTTTCAAACTTCCCTGATGATAAGAACCACTGGGATATTTATTGAAAGGACAAATTCCTGAGTCTCTTTCAGACCTAATGAATGTGTAGCACTTATCATCGAGGACTTCTGGGGCCACTATTGTTTATTTGCTTGATAAATTTAAGTTGTTAATGGATTCAGTTTTTTTGACTAGTAATCAAATGATATAACTGGTACTAAGTGCAGATTCTGTGACCATTTAGAGAGCTGTGAAATTTCTAAGTGTGTTTTTGAGAATAGCATGCATGTAGAAAGGGGGAACAGTGGAAGGTGACACTGAATAGATAGATGGTTCAAGACAATGATATTAACCAACCAGAAATATTCACCCATCCATTAGTCACCACTGTGTGAGAAATTTAATAAGTTTTTGGTATAATTTTGACGCAGTTTAAAAAAAAACAACCTTTGTTCTTAAAGTGCTTAAACTAAAAGAATAAATGGCATATATACAGTTTCTTCATCCAAATGATGTTTAGTTTATACTTGAGTTTTTGATGTACCTATATTTGCTACCTTGGTACTTCTGAATAGCAACTAGAGTAGTTTATTAGAAACAAAGTTATTCAGATAGCAATACTATTAAAGATAATTTTTTTTAGTATCCCTTGAGTTATCATAAACAGGAACATCATTTTTAAAAAAATTGAGGATGCTGAGTCACTTTTAAAAGAAGATATATTTTGCTACTGTGACTAAGTAGAGTAGAAAAACTCTTGAATATAATAGCATACATTTATGGATTGTCAGCCCCAGAATTAAGTTGCTGTCAGATGAATACATAATCTCCTTGGTCTATAACAAGCAAGAATGTATTTATTGTAAAGAAAGAAACACCTTTGAAAAGGGAGAATCAAAACTTTTTAACTGTTTCCTTTTTGCTGTTAGAGAGCAAAGGAAGTCTGTCATAGAGCTTGCAGACAACTGGCCCTTAACAGGTATTGCTGTCTCTGTGTAGTCTTAGGGCAAGGAGGTTGAACAACAAGCAGTGTTCTAATAGTCACCAAAACTATCATACAAAGAATGGAAGTAAAGAATAACTCTTCTTAGCCTTGGGAAGATACCACCAACTATTTTCACTTGTAAAGCACTGCACTAGTTTGCCTTTCTGTCTAACCCTTGGCTGTATATATAAGAGTTCTGGTTCCCCTACATCTTCACCAATACTTGGTCTTCGTTACTGTTTAATATTAGCCATTCTCATGGATGTATAGTGGTATTTCATTATTATGTTCCTGATGACTAATGAGGTTGAACATATTTTTCTGTATATTCTTTGATGGACTGTTTAAATCTTTTGTTCTTTTAAGGTTGGATTATGCTAATTGATTTGTTATTTATATATTCTGGATATAAGTCTTTTATAAAGACATAGTTTGCAAGTATTTTCTCCCTGTATGTCTTGCTAAGTCCCACTTAATCCATATATTTTCTTTTGTAATAAATTTCTGCTTTTCATAGCCTATTTAAGAAATCTGGGCTAACCCAAGATCACTAAAAATATTCTCCTGTGTTTTCTGCTAGATGTTATAGATGGATGGATGCTTTCTCTGCATCTGTTGAAATGGTTATTTCTTAGTCTGTTAATATGGTGAATTACACAGATCGATTGCCAAACATGAAGCTGACCTCAAATTCCTCATGTAAATCCCATGTAGTCATGATGTATTATCTTTTTTTATATAGTTGGATTTTTTTTTTTTTTTTTACTAATTCACTGATTTTTACAAGTTTACTAAAATGTGATTGACAGTTTTGTTATATGATTATAAAGTATATTGCTCTGGAATTTTCTTGTAAAAGACTGATTTTGCTATCAGAGAGTATTGATGGCCTCATAAAATATATTCTCTGTCCTTTTCTGGAGAGTTTTTGTAGAATTTTGTTTTGTAGAGTTCACCATTGATGCTAGGAGGTTTTTTTTTTTCTAAATATGAAATTGAATTGTTTAAAAAGTACTGACCTGTTGAGATTGTCTTGTTCATTGAGCTTTGGTAGTGTGTGCCTTCCAAGGAATTTGTCTGTTTCATTTAATTTGGATTTATTAGTATAAAGTTTGTGATGTTCCCCTATTGTCCTTTACCTATTGGTATTTTTAGTATCTGTAGTAATGCTCCCCCTTTCATTGATTATTTTGATTATATAGATTTTCTCTCTTTTATTTCAAATCAGTTCAGTTCAGTTGCTCAGTCGTGTCCAACTCTCTGCGACCCCATGGACTGCAGCATGCCAGGCTTCCCTGTCCATCACCAACTCCCAGAGCTTACTCAAACTCATGTCCTTTGAGTTGGTGATGCCATCCAACCATCTCATCCTCTATCATCCCCTTCTCCTCCTGCCTTCAATCTTTCCCAGCATCAGGGTCTTTTGCAAAGAGTCAGTTGTTTGCATCAGGTGGCCAGTATTGGAGTTTCAGCTTCAGCACCAGTCCTTCCAATGAATATTCAGGACTGATTTCCTTTAGGATGGGCTGGTTGGATCTCCTTGCTGTCTAAGGAACTCTCAAGAGTCTTCTTCAACACCACAGTTTAAAAGCATCAATTCTTCGGCGCTCAGCTTTCTTTATAGTCCAACTGTCACATCTGTACATGACTAATGAAAAAACCGTAGCTTTGACTAGACGGACCTTGGTTGGCAAAGTAATGTCTCTACTTTTTAATATGCTGTCTAGGTCGATCATAACTTTTCTTCCAAGGAGCAAGCATCTTTTAATTTCATGGCTGCAGTCACCATCTGCAGTGATTTTGGAGCCCAAAAAAATAGTCTATCACTGTTTCCATCGTCTCCCCATCTATTTGCCATGAAGTGATGGGACTGGATGCCATGATGTTTGTTTTCTGAATGTTGAGTTTTAAGTCAGCTTTTTCACTCTCCTCTTTCACTTTCATCAAGAGGCTCTTTAGTTCTTCACTTTCTGCCATAAGAATGGTGTCATCTGCATGTCTGAGGTTTTATATATTTCTCCCTGCAATCTTGATTACAGCTTGTGCTTCATCTAGTCCAGCATTTCTCATGATGTACTCTGCATATAAGTTAAATAAACAGAATGACAGTATACAGCCTTGACATACTCCTTTCCCAATTTGGAACCAGTCTGTTGTTCCTTGTCCGGTTCTAACTGTTGCTTCTTGACCTGCATACAGATTTCTCAGGAGGCAGGTCAGGTGGTCTGGTATTCCGATCTCTTTAAGAATTACCCACAGTTTGTTGTGATCCACCCAGTCAAAAGCTTTGGCGTAGTCAATAAAGCAGAAGTAGATGTTTTTCTGGAACTCTCTTGCTTTTTCTATGACCCAGTGGATGTTGGCAGTTTGATCTCTGATTCCTCTGCCTTTTCTAAATCCAGCTTGAACATCTGGCAGTTCACAGTTCATGTACTTTTGAAGCCTGGCTTGGAGAATTTTGAGCATTACTTTGCTAGCGTGTGAAATGAGTGCAGTACATGAGTGTAGTTTGAACATTCTTTGGCATTGCCTTTCTTTGGCATTGGAATGAAAACTGACTTTTTCCAGTCCTGTGGCCACTGCTGAGTTACCCAAATTTGCTGGCATATTGAGTGCAGCACTTTCACAGCATCATCTTTGAGGGTTTGAAATAGCTCAGCAGAAATTCCATCACCTCCACTAGTTTTGTTCATAGTGATGCTTCCTAAGGCCCACTTGACTTTGCATTCCAGGATGTCTGGCTCTAGGTTAGTGATCATGCCATCGTGATTATCTGGGTCATGAAGATCTTTTTTGTATAGTTCTTCTGTGTATTCTTGCCACCTCTTCTTAATATCTAATGCTTCTGTTAGGTCCATACCATTTCTGTCCTTTATTGTGCCCATCTTTGCATGAAATGTTCCCTTGGTATCTAATTTTCTTGCAGAAATTTTTCTTGAAGATTTTTCTATAAATGTCAATTAAATCCAGTCAGTTCACATTAATGGCATTTTTTCAGTCCTTTTATATCTTTGTTGATATTCTGCCTTACTTAGAGAGTAGTTGAGCCTCTAACTATAACTATCGATTTGGTTATTTCTTCTGTCAGTTTTGTCGGTTTTTATTTCCTGTACTTTGAAGTTCTGTTGCTAGTTTGATATATGTTCTGAGAACTGGTCCTTTTATCAGTATGTAATATGTAAGATATGTAATATGTAATGTCCCTCTTTGCTTTGAGATCTGTTTGTCTGATATTAATTTAGTTACTCCATCTTTCCTTTGAGTATGCTTGCGTGGCATATCTTTTTCCATTCCTTTACTTTTAATCTACTCATACCATTATATTTGAAGTGAAACTATTAGTAGTGTATTGTTTGATCACTGTTTCCCTCTTCTCTGACAATCTGTGAATATTTGCATTTTATATAATTATTGCTATGTTTCGATTAGGTCTGTCATTTTATTACTGTTTTGTGTGTTCCTTCTGTTTTTCATTCCTCAGTATTTCTGTTTCTGCCTTCTGTTGGGTTATTTGTACATTCTTAAACAGTTAAATTTTACTTACCCAATGTGATTTTGATCACTTCTTTGTGCATCAATAGTTCTAATGATTACAGTATATATCTTAGGCCCAGAACCTAATTATATATCAAATACTTGATTGACTAAAGTAATATTTTAAAAATCCAGTTGTCAGTTTTCTTGGTGCTGAGATTTTCCAAATACAGTTATTGAATAATAACAGCTTTTTCTAACAGTCTATTAATACAATATTATTGCCATGTTTAATTTTAATTTTAAAAAATATTCATGACATTTCTTCATTCACCAGTGACTTGTTTCACTTGATCTACAGAAGAGATACTGCTTTATCTTCATAGTCTCACCTGGGTTAGTGGGTGTTGATACTATGCAGCTCAGTTTTGCCTTTGAGTCAGAATTTTTCTGTTTAGATATGACTTGTAACTCTTAACTCTGTAAGCTTTGCATAGAGCTGGCTTTGAGGACAGTGCTATGTTTAAATGACTCTGTTTATATAGTAACAGTAGAAAGTTAAATGACCCCAAGGGAAACTTTGCCTCTTTGGTGTAGTGTCAGTATTTTCCCTTTATTCAAGTTTGTTTCCTGCTCTATAAAATGAAAGCTTTGAACTATTTGAACTCTGGAAGTTTAATGTGTTGCAGTATACTCAAATTTGGCTACATTCAGGTTAATTTAAACTAGTTTTGATAATTTACCAATTAACTCATTTCAGTTAAGGATATTTTGGTTCTGTTTCTATCGAAACCACAAATTTTAAAGCACCAATTTGAAGAATATAGATTTTTTTCTAATTTCCTATTTCCAGAATATCTGGATTTTAATAATTTGTATAGATCCTAGAATGTATCTTACTTAGATTGATACCCCCCTTATAGGAAATTTACAGCATCAAGTAGTTAAAAGTAAGGTTGTCAGTCGTTACACTTGTTGCTGGGGCCCAAGTCCTGCTCCTGTGAGCCGGCAGCCTTAGTGTAGCCAAAGGCTGCGCAGGAGAGCTTTCTGTGGTCATAGAACAGATAACGGTGCCAATAATACAGAGGTGCTGTGTAGTGTGGGAGCAATTTTTTAATTAATTTAACTTTCAACAACCATATGTGGCTAACAGCACACAGGTCTAGCCTCATGGCTACCCGTTTTGTATTGTAAAACCCACGTTTTGGAATTTTTTCTGGATCTCAAGCAAAGGCTTCCAAGAGGCTCTTTGATTAATTAAATCAGTTTGTAGAGCATGAGACAGAAGACTGAACAAGTTGGAAAGAAAACAGTATGTAAAGTGACAATTACAGTATGATAAGGATTAAATCAACGTATAGACTATAGAGTGACTAAATACCTGGGGGTGTCTGGGAGTTCAGTGAATGAAAAGAAACCACTCTGGGGATTTTAAGTAGTGAGGACTTTATTTAATTTAAAATAACATTAGATGTTGTAAAATTACTCATCATACCTAGAAATAATTAGAAATAATTTCCAGACTAATGCAGAACTACCAGAGAATTTGTTAGGAGCTCCAGCTGCTAGAGCCATGCTGGGGGTGGGGGGGTGACAGACACTTAACTTCCACTTCGACATGGCTGGTTACCCCAAAAGCTAAGGTTAGATACTAGTCTAGAGAAGATGGAAAGCGATATAATAGTTTTCTTCTTTTCAGTGGCAAGCTGAATGGACTTGAATAGGAGATCTTTAATTAAAAGATCGTTAAATGAAAGCTTACTTTAGGCTAAGATAACCTACCTAAGAAATGACTTTATAGAGACATAGAGGTAACCAAATTGCACTAATTGTGGTGCATAACTTTAAGTAGGTTTCATTGCATATGTATACAAATAACCCTTATATATCCATTCTTTACAGATCCAGGATGAGAAGACTGACAAGAGAAGAAGCTAGCTGAACAGCTATAAGATGCCCAAATCTGGGTTCACAAAACCAGTTCAGAGTGAAAATTCTGACAGTGACAGCAATATGGTAGAAAAACCATATGGAAGAAAGGTATATGATTATACTAAAGATTTTGTCGACTCTTTAGAAATTGTGAAAAAAACTCCTGATTTAGTACTTTTATTTACTTTTTAAAAAATTTCTCTAATTGTAAGTTTTATTAATTCAATTTTGGGCATACCTAGAAGCTTGCCGGATCTTAGTTCCCCTTCCAGGGGTTGAACCTGGCCCTCCACAGTGAAGTAGTTAGATGTCCTAAGCACTGAATTAGGGTGCCAGGGAATTCCCATGATTTAGTATTTTTAATATTAATAATTGTCCATAAAATAAAAAACAGTATGGAAGCCAGATTTGGGCGTGAGATTGTTTTTCATTCCCTGAGATAACAAAATTACTAAGATCACACAGTTAACTTGAGAAATAATCAAGGGTTGGGGAATCCAAGACTTCACAGTCATTTGTTATTTCTTCCCCCTGACTCCTGGTAGCAAAACGCACAAATACAGTAGCTATTCAGTTTTCCATGTTTGTAACTTTGGATAAATCTTATGTAATTTTTCCAACCTCAGTGTAATAGAGGACAGTGGTACTTTATAGAATTGTTGTGACAGTGAAATGACTAGAGTGTTGTATCTAATAAAATGCTTGTTATACAGGAAGTACTCAATAAATAACTGTTTTTGTTGTTCGTTATTAGTCCTTGCCAGTGATTCTGCCCTTTTACAACTTTCCTTCTTCATTCGTATTTAATTTAGGCCCTCTAAACCTTTATTTAGACTTCTGCAGTTATCTAGTAATTGGTCTCACTGTCCCTAGTCTCTCCTTCATCTAGTAAGTTTTATACGTTACCTTTGAAGTTTTTTTTTTTTCTCTTTCTTTTAAGTTCCTTTCTTCCCCTCAGCCATTTTATTGTTGAAGGACATCTGAAATATTTTCAGTTTTGGGCTAAAACGAAGAAAGATTCTCTGAACGTTTGTGTATAAGTTTTTTTTAAATCAGCTTTTTTGAGGTATAATTAAATGCCATAAAATTCACCCATTTTGTGTGCAATTCAGTGATTTTTAGTAAGTTTATAAAATTGTGCAACTATATCATAATGCAATTTAGACCATTTCCATCATTGTTAAAAGATCCTTATGCCCATTTGCAGTGTGTCCCTGTTCCCACCCCAAACCCCAAAAAACTTCAAATCTGCTTTCAAAATCAAACATGTAAGTTTTCAACTTTTGTTCTTTTAAAAAATTTTTTTGGCTATTTAGGTCCTTTGCATTTCCATGTGAATTTTGGGATTAGTTTATCAGCTTCCACAAAAAAAACCCTGAAATTTTTACAGGTATTTTATTGAAACTGTAGGTTACAGACTGTAATAGTACTGTCATCTTAACAATATGTCTTCCAGTCCATCGCCACAGAATATCTCTCCATTTATTTAGATTTCCAGTTTCCCTGACTAATGCTTTGTAGTTTTCAGTGTACAGATCTTGTAATTTTATTGTTAAATTATTAATATTTCATTCTTTCAGGTGCTACTGTAGATAATTTCATTTTTTATTTTTTTAATGTTTAGTATATAGAAATGCAGATATTTTTGTATGCTGATCTTGTATCCTTTGACCTTACTGAACTCATATATTGATTCTAAAAGTTTGTGAATTCCTTAGGATTTTCTGCATTTGGGATTGTCATCTGCTTACAAAAATAATTTAACTTCTTTTCCAATATGAATGCTTTTATTTCCTTTTTTTGCTTCATTGCACTAGCATTCTCTGCTTTTGATTGTAGTGTTTAGCCCACTCACATTTAATTAATTATTGATAAGGTTGGATTTATAATTGTCATTTTGCTTTCCGTTCTTATGTTTCAGATCTTTTTCTTCTCCCCTCGTTGGCTTTTTAAAATATATATGTATTTTTCAGTGCACTATTTAAATTTCTATGTTTTGTGACCATGTTTCTTAAATTGTATTTTTAAATGTTGATCTAGGGATTATAATGTGCATGCTAATTACTACAGGTTATTATTGAGTTAATGCAGTAAAATAAGGCAACTTTGCTCCAGTATAGCTGTATTACCTTCCCTTCGTTTGTGTTATCTGTGTAATATAGATTATATCTACAGTTGTTATTAGCCCAACAACAGAATGTTATAATTATTATTTTATACATTTTTGTTTTTAAAGAAAGAAGAGAATTAAAGAGAACTATATATATTTATACAGTTCTTTGTTTTTACCAGAAATTGACCAATTCTGGCACTCTTAATTTCTTCCTATGAATTCAGGGCACTGGTGTCATTTTCTTACCATCTAAAGAATTTTCCTTAGGATTTACTGTAAGACAGATTCTCAACTGTGATTTCTCTCAGTCTTCGTTGACCTAGGAATATCTTGATTCTGCCATTCTCAAAAAATGAGTATTTTGAGATATAATTCACATACCATACAATTCACTCATTTAAAATGTAGAATTCAGTTGTACCTTTATCAATTACCTTTATCAATTTTAGTATATATTCACCTGAAAAAGAAACCCTATGTACCTATTACCAGTAACTCCCCATTCTGTCCCTAAATCCCACAGCCCTAGTGTGAATAAGCCTACATTCTGTCTCTATAGATTTTCCTATTCTGGATATTTCACCTAAATGGAGTTACAGTTTGTGGTCATTCATGACTGATTGCCTTTATTTTACTGGATATAGAATTCTTACTTGACTTTTTTTTCATTTTAGTATTAATATCAATAGATTGTCATCCCACTTTCTTGCTTCAAGTGTTTCTAATGAGAAGTCAGTTGTTAATTGTGATGAATTTTTTTCATTGCTGTTCTTTTTTTTTCTTTAAATCATTTGACTGTAATGTGTTTAGGATCCCTTTTTGATTATTCTACCTAGAGTTTATTGAGTTTCTGGGATCTGTAGATTAATATTTTATGCATTTGTGTGTTCAATTTACTGATTTTTTTTTGCCATCTGTTGTTGAAGATACCTAGTATATTTTCAGTCACTCTGCTTTTCAAATCGGGTATTTCCATTTGGCTTTCTTTGTAATTTTCCTTTATTCCAGATCTCTATTTGATAAGTTGTGGTACTTTGATTCTTTGAACAATGTTTTCTTTCTTTCTGATAGTTACTTTACAGTCTTTGCCAAAGCTAGTATCTTGACCAACTCGGAGAAGTTTCTGTTGAATACTTTTTCCTCACTTTCCCATGTGTCTTCATTTTTGTTGAAAATGAAACAGTTTGCGTAATATATTACAACAACTCTGGTTTCTCTTTATTTTCCACCTGAAAGTTATAGCTGTTGCTAGTTTTTGTTTGCTTTTAGTAAGTTGTCAGGTGTTTTGGATATTTGTTACTTTGTCACAACCACTGGGGTCTTGTTGGGGGTGGGGGTTGTTTGGTCTTGCTTTCTAGGGGTTGCCCGATACTTATTTGGGTTAGTCAGCAACCATTGATTCAGACACTTTGCTGAAACACCTTGAGCCAGTAAGGTTTCTACCTTCCACTGGTAGATTTGCATGTGTTTTAGGGAGCATGTTCAGTTGATATAGCCACGCGTTCTGGGAAACAGACTTAACTCAGAAGGACAGTGCAGATGGTGGAGTGCAGTTTATTACACCAGCGGGCCCAAGGCAGAGTCTCCTCTTAGCCAAGGACCCTGACTAGTTTTTGTGAAAACCTTATATACCCTAAATGTACTTGCTCAAACTCACCTCCCCAAATTCCTTGAAACTAGTCTGGGCAAGGTGAAAGAGAGATACGATCAAAGTTAACCCATGGTACCTGTGTCACAGGACTAGATAAACAGTGGACATTTTTCAATAGGACTGTGGTCATATCCCGATAAACATAAAGGAATTAATGACTTTGTTCTGTAACAGAGATAATTAGCATATTCTTTTGGCAAGGGGGAGTCCAAGTACAAGTCCTGAGGCTCTTTTATCCAGGGGTCTGGTTTCCCACTGGTATGCCACTTCTATAGACACCAGGCACAAAGTTCAGAGTCCACTGGGAGGGTGACCATGCGTGTAGCCTAATGTTCGCAGCCTGGCCTAAGATGGAGCCCAGCTCTGTCTGTTTCCTCCTTCACAGTGTTCAGGCATTTTCAGATCTACCTTAGCATTTACTTTCTATTGGGCTCACCCAGGTCTTCCTTCATGCGTGCAGGCTCCTTGTCGACTCAGGGTGTTGTGGAGAGCTTGGACCCTCACACATCTCCACCACATGCGCACACAGTCTTGGTGTCATCGGGGGTCTGTGCAGAGGCTCGCCATTCTCTGATCTTCCCCACATGCTTTCCCAGCTGCCCTGTCAGCCAGGGGTGAATGGCTGTCTTATCTAGTGCTCCCCTGGCTCCTTGATTTCTTCAATCTCTCTGTTAAATTTCTGGCTTGTCTATCTGCTGCTGCTACCCAACAGTGGGACCACACAGCCTTAACTAATAGAACTGTGTTTTTTGTTCCCTGCTTCCATTTGTTTCCTACACTGTTGGCTGTTTTTATCAACAATGCGACTGAGGGGTGAGGTTTTGGCTTTCTATGTCAAGTCACAGCGACTGTCTGGCAGCAGAGATGCTGGTTTTCACTGCCAGCTCCACCCTGGAACCTTGTCATGCAAACTAAGCATTAGCTGGGAATGAGAACCGCCCCAGGCGAGAATGCAGTCTTCTTATCCATAGTTCAGCAGTTTTTACCGAAAGTGCTTCTCAGTTTGTTTGTTTTTGTTCATTTTCTGGAGCCTTGAAAATTTTTTTTTTGACAATTTTGTCTAGGATTATAGTTGTTTCTTGCAGAGATAAGTTGCCAGTATCTTCATTCTACTATAGACAGAAGTTTTCTCAAATGTATTTAATGCGCCGAATCTCAAGGAGAATGGGTTCACTGATTTACTTATTTTATCCAACAAACCTCATGTGGGATGCTTGTTTGTGTTGTGTGCCTTTCCTGTGAACCTTTGAAACAAAAAGTAGTTAATGTTTGGTCTAAATCTTTATGAAGACTCTTAAGTAACTGCTTTGTCTCTGTTTCTGAAATGTTTTCCTCTCAGGACCC